CCCCAGTAGCCTGTGTCGGGGTTGTAAACAAATCTCTCATGAACTCGAAACTCATTCATGTACAATAATGCGCAAAGTGCACTTTGCCACTATGTATTATGCAACGTTTTGCATCAAGATGGATCGGTTTAAATAGTTAACGTCGACGGTCTAAAACCGTATGCATTTGCCTGATTAATGATGCTAGAGATAATTAAAGTCCCAAGTGTATACACCGGCGACTGAAATAGTAGTTAATGCCGCATAAGACACTTAAGCCGAGGGCGGGGCCTACCATGAAAGGGGATGACACAACAGGGGCCACGAGGCAGTTTACTAAAGCCAGTATCCGAGAAGCAAGGACGGGAAGACGGTTTGCCTGTAAGCCCAGCTGCTGGCTACTTGGCGCGTCCGCAGGTGGCGGATAGTGGAAGGGTCTTCAGTGAAAGTTGGCTACGAAACAAGCAGACCCAGGTCTGACGAATAAGCAGTCGCGGACCAGCAACGACAGTGCTACCAGGGTGCAGAAGGTTAAGGCCTGACACACTGAAAGCCTTATAAAAAAGTCGCAAAGCCCGATGACGACATTGTGACATGTTGACCGTAAACCGCAATTAAATAAGTTTGCTTGCCATCGCACCTTGTGGTTAGGCTTTTAAGCCAAAGCGCTACAGGAGACATCCTCGAACAAACAATCCGAGCGGCTGTTGGGAACCCGCCTGTAGTCGAAATTCCTAAGAAATCCCATGAAATATGTCCAATCACAATATTACGACCCATGCTACGGCGTCTGCGGGAACCGACGCGCCCCGCAGCCCTAACCCAGTGATCCGGACGAATAATATGCGAGCCGTATTTCTCAATCGGGAACGGATTCCTGGGACTGGATGCTGGAATGTTCGAACGTTCCTGGACCCTGGTACCCAAAGTCTGACCGCGGGCAGCCCTGATCAGTACTACGTGGATGTCTGCTGCCCGTCTGAAGTTCGACTTCCTAACTCAGGCTCCCACTAAATAAAGATCACGGGAGTCGAATCACACTTTTCCCTGTACCACAGCGGCCCGCGCGACTCTTTTGGTCTAAACGGTATGGCGACTGCCCTATCGCAACAAGCGGACCTCGCGCTGCTTGTTTGGGAACCAGTCAATAACCGGATGGTTGACGTGCGACTGAATGGTCACTTCACAAACATCTCAGTCGTCTCTGTAGGCGCACCAACTTTGGCTGCCGAACAGCGCCATAAAGAGTCGTCTTACTCGCAGTTGCCCGAGATGGTTGAACTACTCCCTCGCCGCGATCCGCCGATTGTCGCCGGGGATTGGAATGGTCGGACTAGGCCTGGCGAATACACAAACAATCATCTTCTTGGCCGTTTTGGGCTTCGTTCCCGATGTGAAAATGTCGAGAGATTGCTGAACTTCGTTGATCAGAACCGACTGTTTGTCACCAACGCGTGTTTCCAGCATCGCAAGAAACATCTGCTGACCTGATCGTCAGACGACGGTCGTACGGCCAGTCAGATTCACTACATACTAGTCAGTTCAAGGTGCCGAGACTGCTAACACCCATGGGTTGGACCATGTCCTCGTTAGAATACGCCCGAAAGTTCACCTCTCATCCGCACCAAAAATGCCACGTCCTAGATGCCTTGATGCATCAAAAATCCGACCACCCAGCATTGCCGAAGCCCTGAGCAAAGAAATCCGGTACTGTTTAACGACCTAAGCCAACGGAGAAGGCAGTTACCAGTGGTCGTCACTGAAGACGTCATTCTATGGGGCATATTAGAAAATTCTTAGATGCACCCATCGGCGACGCAGTGACTGGATCAGCAGAAAAACCCTGCAGTTGTCTGCACAGACGGCTCGAGCCAAGTCCCGTAACGATGACTGCTTCCGCCAACTTCGGAAAATGACGACAAAATCGGCCAGGAATTACCGGAAGCAATATTGGACTGCAATAGCGAGCTCCATGGAACAGGCCTCGAGCGCTGGTGACACTCGAAAACTCTAAAAACTTTTCCGCCAGATTAACGGTAAGCCCTCTACACTGAGTGACTCTGTTCGCGGCGTGAATGGCGGCTTTATTGATGATAAATCGGCCAAAGTCGAGCGCTGGCGTGAGCACTTCGAGCACAATCTCAACTTCGATATTCAACCTACCTCGTCCTTGCTCTCCTCTTCAGCGGAGTATCTTCCCTCTCCCACCTATGCAGTGTCATGCGATCTTCCCTCGGAAGGAGAAGTCGCCGATGCCTTATGAAAACCACACAACAAGGTACCCAGAGAAGGTGGTATACTTGCTGAAATCTGCAAGTCTTGTGTCGACGCTTTGGAGCTCTGGCTGCATGATGTGACTGAGCAAGCGTGGAGAAACGAGGTTGCTCCGGATAACTGGGGATTAGGCATCCTTTTACCTATCCTCAAGAAGGGAGATAAGACGAGATGCGAGAATTACCGCAGCATAAGTCTCATCGACGTTGTTGCGGAGATCCTAATCAGGCGATTCCAGGCTGTGCGTGACGCTAGAACGAGGCCCAACCAAGCCGGATTTCGTGCTGGACGTGGATGCGCGGACCAGGTACTCATACTAAGGCGCATTCTCTAAGTCCACCATAGATACTAACATACGACGGGCGTCTGCTTCATTGAATTTGCCGCCGCGTTCGATTCCGTCCATCATGAGTTGCTGTGGCGGATAACGGCGCTAGATGGTGTACCGTTAAAAGCCAATGCCATGATCAAGGCCTATTATCGCTCCACCACTGAGCGAACCCTTGTTCGCAAAAATCGTCCATAACAGTGGTATTCGGTCTGGCGTCCGACAGGGTTGTATCCTGTCACCCATACTGTTCAACTACGCTATTGACTGGATCCTCGGGAGGGTCATACACGAAGGTGAGGGTATTGTGTTTACACCCGGACACCGACTGACTGATCTTGACTATTTCGATGAAAGCGCCTTGCTTGCTTAAAGGTTCGGTGATTTGCAGTCTGTGGTGTCACGGCTGAGCATGTTCATTAAATCGGTCGGTTTTCCCATAGGCGCTGGGATACCAAAGTGTTTTCACGCAGCACCTCACGGGAATGATGGCAGTCAACTTGAAGAAATTGACAGTTTTAACTTCATAGAAGCGAGGCTACTGCCTAATGGACAGAGTAAGGAGGACATTGTCTCTCGAATCTATGCTGTCGGACGGGTTTTCCTAGGCTCTAGAAAATGCTTGTGGATCTGACGCGACCTCTCCATCGCCATTAAGATTCGCGTGCAACATGCGTCTGTCCGGATTATCCTTCTCTACAGTTGTGAATGCTGGGCTGTGCACGTGGAGGACGAATGAAAACTAGGGGTAATTGAACACCACCGCTTTGGAACCATCCTTCGATTGATGTGCACCGACTTCGTCGCAAATGCGACGGTCCGCGCTCGCTGCGACAACATCGCAAGTATAACCCAAGCCATCCAAGAAAGGTGACTGAGGTGATAGGGCATGTTCTTCGTCGTCCACGTCAGGAGCTCAGTGTTACTGCCCACGATCCGGCACCCCTACCCCAATGAAGGCGTCGGGAGGCGGTCAACTCAAAACCTGGCTCGACACACTTGGTCAAGACATGGCGGTGGTAACTGGGCCTTAGGTAATCGGTCTCCGTCGTTGGCGCAGAGAATGGGTTTAACTGTCCAAATCTACTGCAGATCGTCACGCGTGGAGAGTTACAGTTCAGGACATCATCGAGGCCGGAGAGATCTGGCATGATCACAGCCGTACCAAGTACAAGTGCTCAGGACACGGACGGGTTATAGATATAATCCCAATTTTCGCGTATCGTTATATCCGTTATCGGTTTATCCATCATGTCCTTGGAAGAGGTCCCAATTAAGCACAATCTGGACTGAGAAGATAAAACCATCACACCTATAATTTGAACGTCGTGTTGAATGACAGTTCGACCATCGATTTCGATTATGTCCACCGTGTGCCCCACAGCAGTTTGGAGCAGGTACGGTGACTTGCCCAGGGGTTTATAGTGCCAGTAGACTTGCGCTGCATCTATCTGCACTCTCTCCTCCCCCCCCCCCGCCTGGGCCCGGTGTCAAGACAGAGTCAAGAAGACCGGAGACGAGGGAGGCCGCAAGTGGATGGCTCGGACGGATCCTCACCTTGGCGTTCCACCACACCCCCTGGTCCACACAACAATAACCAGGATTTCAACCAACAACAGAGATTTGGAGGCTGGCACGGCCGAAACCGCACCTGGGCGTGCCGCCAACGCCTGGCTCGGATCCCACACTGTGGTGAGAGTGCCATAAAGGCCACATTAAAAAGGAGCCATTGCAGCCTGACTCTCAGACCGCCTCCAGTTAAGGAGGAGGACCAAGTTACTCTGTTAGTTGGCAACCCTCCAAGCCACGGCTTTTAGCGCACCATGATAGCTTCAAGCGCGTCAGATTGTTTATAGTGAGGAAAATGCGCTGAGTCGTCGACCTCACTCTCCCTTCCCATTCCCACACCCCAGCCACTGTCCGAGCCGGTCAGTAGACTGGAGTGGTGGATGGGCGCGGTGGCTGCCACGGTCGACTGACCGTGACTGCGCGCGCCACAGCACGACCTGGCCCCCCATACACACACAAACACCAGGATTTCACACAACGGGGGTTGAACGGCGTGTCTCTCACTTGCGTGAGAGGGCCGTGGACGGTGCTGCTTCAGCCCGTTCCCAGCCCACCATTCCGCCACTCCACACAGCACACTCACACACACACACACAAAGCGACGAACTGCGTGAACCGAGAGCGGGCGTTAATCAGCAACCTTCCTATCCACGACACTTGAAGTGTCGGGATAGTCTCGGACTCAAATCACCCGTGCAGCCGAAGCCGCGTGGGGACCGAGTCGAGATGCACACTTCCCACTTGCGTGGAATTTGGCAGTTGGTGCATGCGTTGGGTGAGTGTTGATGTGTGTTGGTGATGGTGGAGGAGGGTAGGGAGTGTGTGGATGTGTGGGGTAACCGGCGGTTGTCTACCGCATGTCGTCGTGGATGCGCACGTGGCCGAATAGGCCCATGCGGGGACTGAAAGTGCGAGGACAGTGTGGGCAGTTGAGGCGAGCTTGGTGGGTGTAGGTTGGTGCTCCAGGCACTGGTTCTCCGGTCTCTGTGCGATGGATTCGCAAGTGACCGACCAGGCCGATGCGTGAGGTGAATGTGCGTGGACAGTGTGGGCATGTGCAGTCCGCGGTGTCAGAATCAGCTACAGAGGAGGCGTTGGTGGTGGCGCGGATGGACGGTGCGAGGGTGGTGCTGGGCATGATGGGCGTGTCGGAATTGTGGTCAATTCCGCTCTCGTGGATGCGCATGTAGCCGAATAGATCCATGCGATGCGTGAAGGTGCGAGGGCAGTGATGGCAGTGGAGGCGAGTGCGGTGGGTGTAGGTTGGTGCTCCAGGCACTGGTTCACCGGTCTCTGTGCGATGAATTCGCAAGTGACCGACCAGGCCGATACGTGAGGTGAAGGTGCGATGGCAGTGAGGGCAGGTTTAGTCCTGATTCTCACTGCTGGAGTCGGGAGAGGCGGGGGTGGTACCGGTTGTCGTGTCGCGGTTGGTGATGTGCGAGACGGCTGCCTGAGCGGCCGCCGTTGGAGCAGTGGTGGTGGTGATGGTGATGGTGGAGGAAGAGGAGGAGGATGAGGATGGAAGTGGTGGTGCAGAAGAATTGTCAGAGTTAGTTGGCGGCAGAGAGGACGAGGATGAGGCGGACGGGGGGATGAAGTTTGGTGCAGTTCGAGAGTTACAGTTGATCCGAAGATGTCCAACAAGGGCGATTCGTGCCCGGAATGTCCGTTGACATCGAGCACACGTTGGAAGCGGTTGTGCGGCGGCGTTGCTGGCTGGGCGCAGTTGGGATTTGCGGACTTCGCGTTTCGCTTTGGCGACGGCGATGCGGTTGGCTTCGTGGATAGCAGCGCCAGTCTTCACTGTTCTCCTCCATGTCGGACGATCGCTGGCGAGCTCTTCCCAGTTGGTCGGGTTGATTTGCAGTAGTTTCAGGGAGGACTTCAGGGTATCCTTGTATCGACGAATTGGGCCTCCTTGACGACGATAACCCGTCGCGACGTCTCCGTAGAAGAGCCGTTTGGGTAGTCGCTCGTCGTCCATGCGCACCAGGTGGCCGCTCCAGCGCAGCTGCATTTGTCTCAACATGGAGTAGATGCTGAGCATTCCCGTTCGTTCCAGCACATCAGGGTCGGGGATGCGATCCTGCCAGTTCAGCCGCAGGATGCGACGAAGACAGCTGAGGTGGAAGTGGTTCAGACGGCGTGCCTGCCTCGTGTACACCGTCCAGGTCACTGCTCCATACAGTAGCGTCGGCAGGATGACGGCCTTGTACATCTTCAGCTTCGTGTTCAGTTGAAGACCGTGACGATTCCAAACTGTGTGTTGGAGACGACCGAAGGCTTGGCTGGCTTTCGAGATCCTGTTGGCGACTTCGTCATCAATCTTGGTGTTGCGGGAGAGAGTACTGCCCAGGTACGGGAAGTTCTCCACCACTTGCAGTAGGGTCCCGTTCATGCTGATTTGCGGCGGCGCGTTGGGGACTGTGGCTGAGTTGGGTGGCGGTTGGTGCATCACCACCGTCTTCTGCGTGTTGATGACCAGACCGAAGTTCTCGCAGGCGGCGGAGAACAGGTCCATGCTCCGTTGCATCTCCTCTTCTGAGGTGGTGTTCAGGGCGCAGTCGTCGGCGAAGAGGAGTTCGTGAACGGTGGTTGTGGATACGCGCGATTGGAAGTGCATCCGCCGTTGATTCAGCAGGTGACCGTCCGTCCTGTAGGCGATGCGGATCCCGGGGCGTTCGTCGCGGTAGGCGTCCATCAGCATGGCAGAGAACATAAGACTAAAGAGGGTAGGCGCCAGCACGCATCCCTGCTTGACTCCGTCAGTCACCGCGAATGCCTCTGAGACAGCTCCGTTGTCCGTGACTCGCGCCATCATACCGTCGTGCAGCTGACGCACCATCTGAGTGAATCGCTTCGGACAGCCGAATTTCTGCATGATCCTCCACAGTCCTTCACGATTCACCGTATTGAAGGCTTTCGTCAGGTCCACGAAGGTAGAGTACAGATGGGTCCGCATCTCCTGACACTTCTCCTGAAGTTGGCGGGCTGCGAAGATCATGTCCGTGGTCCCACGATGACGATGGAAGCCGCATCGGCTTTCCGGCAGTAGACCCTGTTCAAGATGGTTATTGAGGCGGTTGAGAAGGATGCGAGCGAAGATCTTCCCGGCGATGTTCAGCCGGGAGATGCCGCGGTGATTATCGCAGATTTGGCGATTCCCTTTTCGCTTGTATAGGTGCACGATTGTTGCGTCTTTGAAGTCTTGCGGGACTTCGCCTTGACGCCACATCTCCTGGAAGAGCGCAGTCAGGTGATCCATGAGTTGTGGACCTCCGTGCTTGTAGACCTCAGCAGGGATCGCGTCCGATCCGGGTGCTTTCCCGCTGGAGAGCTGCTGCACGGCCCTGATGGTTTCCTGGAGAGAAGGCAGGAGGTCTAGGTCCGCGTTGGTCTCCGCTTGCGGCAAACGCGCGATGGCGGCGTCGGAGATGGCGGAAGGGCGGTTGAGGACGCCTCGAAAATGCTCGGCCCATCGCTGCAGGATTTGCGTCTTCTCAGTCAGGAGAGTACTGCCGTCGGCGCTGAGGAGAGGAGCAGTGTCCTTCGTCGGCGGACCGTAGACAGCTTTGATCGCAGAGAAGAAGTTCTTCCATTCGTTGCGGTCCGCGTACCCTTGGATCTCCTCAGCTTTACGAGCAGTCCAGGCGTCCTGCATCTCGCGCAGTCGCTGTTGGAGGTGGCGGCTACTGCGGTAAAAAGCAGCTTTGTTGTCGTCAGCGGGGTGATCTACGGAGGCTTTGTGTAGGCGGTTCTTCTCAGCATGCAGATTTCTGATGGCGGCGTCGTTGTCGTCGAACCAGTCCTGGTGTTGGCGGGGAGCGCGACCAAGGACGGCGAGCGCCGTCGACTGGACCGTGTCTCGCAGTTGACACCAGCGGTTCTCCACGGAGGCGTTCTCGGCAGCGGCGGCGTCGGCGATGGGGAGGTTATCTAGCCGTTGAGCTAGCTCATTGTTGAAATGGAGATGGTGGGCGGGCAAAGACAACAAGGCAACATTCAGCTTACCTGGGGGTCGCTTACCTTGAGGTCTCCTGCGAGGCTGTAGGCGAATACGCATCTTCGAGATGACGAGGCGATGGTCGGTCCACCCGTCAGCACCCGCGATCGCCTTTGTCACCAGCACGTCCCTCTGGTCGCGCCTTCGGACGGGGACATAGTCCAGCAGGTGCCACTGACGCGACCGAGGATGCCTCCAAGTGGCCTTCTCTCGCTCCGGCAGACAGAAGAACGTGTTCGTCAGAATGAGGCGATGTTCTGCGCAGGTGCGGAGCAGCCGCAGACCATTGTCGTTTGAGCCGCGGAGACCGTGGGGACCCAGCACTCCTCTCCAGGCAGTGTGGTCTGTGCCGATGCGGGCGTTGAAGTCGCCAAGGACAATCAACTTGTCCGCCTTCGACACAGTCGCCAAGAGGGCGTGCAGGTCCTCGTAGAAAATGTCCCTTGCGGCGGCGTCGGGGCTGCTCATCGGCGGAGCGTAGGCGCTGATGATGGTGGCGAATTTGGCCCCACCCCGGAGAGGCAGACGGAGGCTCATCAGGCGATCGTTGATGCCCTGCGGCGGACTGAGCAGTCGTCTTACGATGTCGTTCCGGATAGCGAAGGCGACACCCGCGTCTCGTCGCTCTGCCCTGGGTCGACCACTCCAGTAGAAGGTGTAACCGGCTCCCACCTCTTCCAGTTGGCCTTGTTCGGAGAAACGGGTCTCGCTGAGTGCGGCGATGTTCACCTTGTAGCTCGTCAATTGTCGTGCCACTAACGCTGTCCTCCGTTCCGGTCGGTTGCTCCTCGGATTGTCTAAAAGGGAACGAACATTCCAGGCTGCCAGAGTGAGCGGACTCACCCTGCCAGTCTGGTGACAATGAGTGGGGCGACGGGAGGGAGATGGAGAAGAAGGTGACGAAGGAGAAGAATAGGCAGAGGAATAGGCAGAGGAAGAGGTAGAAGAGGTAGAATGAGGAGAATGAGTATGGCTGTTGTTGTTGTTGTTGTTATTGGTATTGTTGTTTCGATTTTGATTGTTTCGACCATGTTTAGACGTCTGCGGCCCTGGCTAGCCTGGAGACGGCGTGGTACCCAGCAATGTTTAGGCCACCTTTTCTAGGCCCTTCCCCTCGTGAGGGGTGGCAGTGCCATCCCTGAATAGGGCTGCCATGTGCCGTTGTGGCACGGCCGAACTCCACTATGGGACCACGACTTCGAGTTGTAGTGGAGAGCGACTCGAATTCGCCATAAGCCGCGGTCTCCGACGGTGTAGGTGGGCGCGTCAAGGCGATGTCGATGTGGAGATCCATCCCGTCACCAGCTGTCCAGCGGCGTGCAGAGACGAACCACGTCACGACGGTGCCGACGCAAGGTACCATCCGACCTTCCATCCAGCGGAATCCGCAAACCACGTGCACATGGCACAGCGCACAGGGTCCTCTCACCTGGTTTAGCCCGCCGGTCGAGACGGTTGCCCGGGGTGTGACCGCTGAGCAGGGCCCAGCTACGTGGAGCCACAATGACAGTTGGGTGCTAGCAAATGGACGCTAGGCGTAGTCTCACCTGCAAGCAAGTGAGAAACCAATACGACCATCACGTGAACCCATCGCTGACACCCCCTACACCCCCGTCGTGTTGAATAATCGGTTAATTTCAAGCACATTCAACTTGTTCGCCACAGTCTTCCTGTCGCCAGATTTTGTCCGTGTAACAGCAGTGCAAAATTAGCACGCTCGAAGTGAGAGAAAATTGTCAGAGGGCGAAATCGAAGGAAGAATGGCACGTTATAGGTCCTCAGAACTTCGGCATTGGAACATCAAGGACGTTCAGTAACTTTGCTTTAAATTCATGGAATAATAAGCGCGGTGATGGAATCTTTCGGACCTTACTTGTGTCGGTGGTGACGTATGGCTTGTAACTCCTGTTGGCGTACTCGATGACTACAGTCTTTTGCGTCGTCATTAAATTCTTACTTCCTCCCTCTCGTTTGCGACTGTCACATTAAAATAAAAAGCCTGTGCAAGGTAAGTGGAGTTTTTTTTTATAAAAAAGCGCTGTCCCTTTCGCTAACTTATTTGTAACTACAATCTACTATTCGCAAGCTTAGTCATGCTTGTCACGTTTTCTATTTGTTTTTACTTAACCTGTCGATGCTTAGGCATTTTTTGTGTGCGGACCATTTGCAAATGCTGTATAATTATTTAAAGAATTAGA